ATGAGGCACAAAGTGAAAACAGGCAACGAGAACAGACTGCTCTGCTGTTGCAGGTGCTGTTTCAGCACGCCTCCATCAGAAGCGGGCAGATCCTGCTGACAGAAAATCAGTGGACGTAGTTACATTAATTGCACCCTCGCTCACTTGGGCATAAATGGCATTCACAGACTGTTTTATCCGACAGCAGCGGATTAAGCTCACCAAGACAGATCATATTTTGGGTCCTGAAGCATACTAACAAATGTAAAGGAATATAGAAATCCTACAGGGTCTGCTTTCAGGCCACAGTGACTTTAAGCTTGAAATCAGTAACAGAATTACAGCTGGAAAATTCAAGAATGTTTGGAGAGTAAGCATGCTTATTTTGAGTCAAAGAAAAAATCTTGGACCCAGCACCGTGGGCCTAGTGGCTGAAGTCCTCACCTTGAATGTGCCGGGATCCCATACAGGCGCCGGTTCTAATCCCTGCAGCCCCGCTTCTCATCCAGCTCCCTGCCTGTGGCCTGGGAAAGCAGTCGAGGACAGCCCAAAGCTTTGGGAACCTGCACCCGCATGGGAGACCCGGAAGAGGCTCCTGGCTTCGGATCGGCATAGCATCGACCATTGCGCTCACTTGGGGAGTGAATCATCGGACGGAAGATCTTCCTCTCTGTCTCTCTTCCTCTCTGTATATTCACCTTTCCAATAAAAATTTAAAAAAAAAAATCATTTTATTTGTATTTGAAAGACAGAGTTACAGAGAGAAGGAGGAACAAAGAGAAAGAGATCTTCTATCTGCTGATTCACTCCCCAGATGGCCACAGTGACTAGAACTGGGCCAATCCAAGCCCAGGAGCTTCTTCCGGGTCTATCACTTGGGTACAGGGAAGGACTTGGGCCATCCTCTGCTGCTTTCCCAGGCTATAAGCAGGGAGCTGGACTAGAAATGGAGCAGCTGGAATATGTACCAATGTCTGTATGAAAAGCCAGTGCCGCAGACAGAATTTTATCCTTCTCTGCCATGGGGCAGGCCCAATTTTTACTATTGTTGCCTGTGCTTTTGATGTTATATCCAAAAGGCAGCCGTAGCCAATGTCCTGAAGTACTTCCCTTATTTTTTTTAACCTAGTAGTTCCATGGTGTCAAGGCTTGCATTGAAGTCTTGAATCCATTTTGAGTTGATTTTTGTGTTGAGATGAGAGATACGAGTTGAGAATAGAGCAGGGGTTACCATGGCTGCAGAGTAGAGGGGAGGTGGAAGGGAAGAGTTTGGTCAACAGGTACACATGTAACAGTCAGAGCTGTTCTGTTATTCTGTGAGGTAGTAAATAAATATAATAATCTAATATAGGTCTCAAAATAACTAGAAGAGAGAATTTCGAGTTATAAGGAATTGTGCACTAAAAGTTCAAGGCAACAGGTAATTTAATTAACATGACTTGATGATTACACAATGTACATGAGTAAAATATCACGCTGTATTCTGGGAATGTGTCCTTTTTTAATTTAAAAAATTTTTAATTTTTAATAATTCCTGGCGCAGACATTTGACCAAAGATGCCAGGAAAGGCACCCACGTCCCAATTTGACTTCTTACTAATGCAGATCTGGGAGGCAGCATGGGTATTGGCTCAAGGTTGGATCTGTGCCACCCACATGGCAGACCTGGTTAGCACTCCCCAGTCCCGGCTTTGGCCTGGCTCGGCCCAACTGTTTTGGCCCATTTGGTGAGTGATGATGGGAACTCTGGCTTACTTGCCTTCTCTGTGTATCTTTAAAAACATTATACACATACTGCATGAAATAGGCAAAATTGAAAGTTTAGTATAATATCTTCCAAAGAAAAATTATGTAAAGATAAGCAAGAAAAATGATTCCCATAGACATCCGATAGTGATCAATATGAAGGGCCTCAGAACTGCAGGATTCAGTTTCTTGACCAGGGTGATGATTCTGTAAGATGTTTATTTTCTGTTAATACATTATGCTGATCATTTTGGAGGGATTCCATTCTTGGCATGTGCATTTAATTCCCCACTCCAAGAAGGAAGGAGGGAGGGAAGGAGGAAAAAAGAAGGAAGGAAAGAGATGAGTAGAATAGGCCTAAAGAAATTAAATCAATGCTTGGTAATCTTCCAGGGGCCTTTACTGTGGCACGGCAGCTGCCAGTTTGAGTCCCAGCTCTTCCACTTATCCAGATCCTTGATAATGTGTACCTGAGAAGCAAAAAATAGATGATGACTCAAGAACTTGAACTCCTACTACCCACATGAGAAATCCAGATAAAATTCCTGGCACATGGATTGAGCCAAGCCTGGCCCCAGCTGTTGTACACATTGGAAAAAGAACCAACAAATGGACAATCTCTGTCTCTATCATCTGCCTTTCTAAATAAAGTTTTTAGAGATTTATTAATTTGTTTGTTTGCTTTTGGAAAGTCATCGGATTTACAGAGAGAAGGAGAAACAAAGAAAAACCACTCCCCAAGTGGCTGCAATGGCCAGATCCAAGCTGATCTGAAGCCAGGAGCCAGGAGGCCACTCAGGGTCTCCCATATAGGTGCAGGGTCCCAAGGCTTTGGGCCATGCTCGACCATTTTCCCAGGCCACAAACAGGGAACTGGAAGATAAGTCGAGCAGCTGGGACATGAACCAGTGCCCACAAAGGATTCTGGCACATGCAAGGTGAGGACCACAGCCACTAGACCACCATGCCAGACCCTAAATAAATCTTTAAAGGAAGTAACCATCTCAAATAGAAAACAGGCCTAAAATTCACTGGTTAGTTCCAGGAGGCTTATTGGGAGAAGCCTTGGCCGTTCTCTCCAGGCTGTTCTGGAGGACAGAGGCAAGGGGAATACATCCTCACTCCCTCTGTGAGGCCACGATCACCCTAGTAGCCACACCATGCAGACATAGTGCCCGCGACGCTGTGGACTATTGTCTGTCATCAAATAGATGCAAATATTAGCAAGTCTAATCCTACAATATAAAAAAAGAATTCTATACAATGCCAGTGGAGATCTGTCCCGGTAATGCAAAGCTGGTTCAGCATTTTAATGAATTCATGTAATTCATCCCATGAATGACCTTAAAAAATTATAATGATCATATCAATAGATGCCAAAAAAAAAAAAAAAATAGCACTTTTTTGTGATTAAAGATTCTCAGTGGGGCCCAGTGCAGTAGCCTAGCAGCTAAGTCCTCATCATGAATGTTCCAGGATCCCTGTATGGGCACAGTTCGTATTCCAGTGACCCTGCTTCCCATTCAGCTCCCTGCCTGTGGCCTTGGAAAGCAGTCAAGGACGGCCCAAAGTCTTGGGACCGTACACCCATGTGGGAGACTAGGAAGAAGCTCCTGGCTCCTGGCTTCAGATCAGCGCAGCTCCAATCATTGCGGCCATTTGGGGAATGAATCATCGGATGGAAAATCTTCCTCTCTGTCTCTCCTCCTTTCTGTATATCTGACTTTGCAATAAAAATAAATAAATTTAAAAATAAAAAAACATGCCATGAAGTCGGACCAGAGAGGACACTGCCACCTGCAGGACTCTACAGCCAACTTTGCAGTCAGGGCCGAGAAAGTGGAGGCCTTCCCCGCGAGATCAGGAGCAGGGCAAGCACGCACCCGCATCGGTCCCTCTCTCGAACATGTCAGGAGTCCTGGCTGCTGCAGCCACACGACAGACAAAGGGTGTGCAGTGTATGAGGGAAGTTAAGATTAAACTGGTAACTATGGCCAAGGTGTGGGTTACATGGTTAATATACAAAAGCCATGTTTTCCCATTTAATGGAAACGCACAACTGGGATTCGGAATGAAACGTGGTAGAGCCTGGTGTAGACTGTGGACTCTGACGTGTTCCTTGACTGGAACGGAGGGTGGCGGAGAGAGAAACTGCCCATGTTCACGGCAGAGAGTACATGGGACTTGTCATTTGCTGTTCCGTTTTGCCATAAACCTAAACTGCTCTTAAAAAAGGATAATGTCATGAAAAAGTGTTACAGTAAGAAAGTGAACCAGCAGATACATAGAGCGCGCACTCGCTCACTCTAACTCTTTCAAATAAATAAATCAATCTTTAAAGGGGAAAAAAAAAACATTTGAAAGAACACTGTCCTACTGTGTCCACACGAAGCACAAAGGGGGCAGAAGTTTCCTTCCCGGTGGAAGGCCGCGTGCCGCTGCCTTCAGGCGCTGCCGACCTGCAGCCTGACGCTCCATCTGCTTCCAGTTACATGGGTCTGTTCCGTTCCTTAGTTCTTTGAGCTCCACATTCATGTGTGCCGTATTTTGGTTGCTAAGTTCTGTTTTACCAAGCAACTTTTTAAGTGGCCCAAAACTGAGAAGATTCCAGGGTGAAAGTGGTTTGCCAAAATGTGAACAGTGGTTGTCTCCTAAAAACTGCGCTGTATGTGGTTTTCAGATTCATTTTGAGGGTTCTTGGGTTTTCCAGATGTAATTTTTTTTAAAGTCATTCAGATTAAGACTTTTTCTTTTATTTATTTGAAAAGTTAGAGAGAAAGAGAGATCTTCCATCTGCTGGATCACCCCCTAAATGACTGCAACTGCCAGAGCTGGGCCAGTCGGAAGCCAGGAGCCAGGAGCTTCCTCCGGGTTTCCCACACAGGGAAGCAGGGGCCCAAGGCTTTGAGCCATCCCCTGCTGCTTTCCTAGGCCATAAGCAGGGAGCTGCGTCAGAAGTGGAGCAGCCAGGACTTGAACCTGTGCCCCTGTAAGATGCTGGTGGCACAGGCAGTGACTTCACCTGTTATGCCACTGTGCCTAACCCTTTAGTAAGATTTTCTTTTTTTATGTAATTTGGATAAACTCATTGCTGAATCAATACCTGATCTTCCTCTGCATGGGCTCATGGCTGTTGTTCTCTGGGGTACGTGGACCCCACCCCACTTACTGCCCAATTCACCCTGCTCACTGACCTGTAATCTTTCAAGCCAAACAGCCTGAGATTCTAACCAATGTTTTACGGGTTCCTTTGGGTTTTTGTTTTTCTTTGCCAGGCTGAGCAGTCAAAAGAAGAGCAGAAGCAGGGTTTGAATGCAGAGAAACTGATGAGACAAGCCTCCAAGGACGTGTGTCGGCTTCGGGAGCAGAGCCGGAAGGTGCCTCAGCAGGTGCAGTCCTTCAGGTAACATGGTGCTGTTGTCCTCTTGTCGTCTGCTTGTATTAGGGCATGAGACAGGAAGCCCCGGGGCCCTAACTTGGACATATAAGTTCATGCGTGCTCCTTGCTGGGCTTCCAAACTTACCTGGCAGAGTTGAAGTCTCAGCAAAAGCCTGGCCCCTCAGGCACCCAGCTCTTAGGAACCCCTCCCACATTACCAAGAAATCTCGACACGGTATACAAAGAGCCACCCATGGGTGGGGTTTGGCTGCTTGCTCACTTGACACACATCTCCGGAGAGCCACCAGGTACCACATGCAGAGCTGGGTCCCCTGGTACAAAGAACCTGCACTTCCCACTCTGCTGGGGGAGGGGAATGCCCAGTATGCAGGGGGATGGGCAAGGGAATCAGACCTGATTGCTGAATGAAGGCCCAGGAGGGACCTGTGAAAACAGGCAGGAGCTCTCCATCCATGTGTGCCAGGGGCCTGGCATGGTGGCTTTCAGACAGCCGCAGGGCAGGTGGGGCAGCCTGGGTTGGGGTGCAGAACCTTCGACACCAATGCTGTGTTCCATGTGTGGAGTGGAGCTGCTGGCAGGGGAGCCTGCTGGCTGGAATTAGACTCACACCACACCAGGCCTCAGCTGTCACTGGAGGCTGTCAGCTGTGGTTTTAGATAGCGAAGGAGCACTGCAGGAAATGGCCGGGTGGCATTTTGGGGGGAGCTTATTGGCAAGCTATTGTAGAAAGTAAACCAGGAGAGAAGTTGGCAAGGGAACGCCAGATTGTGGGGGTTGCGTGGAGGGAGAGGCTGTAGGTATGTGGGATACTGGGCTGCAGGGCCAGCGCTGCCCTGACTGCGGAGAGAAGCAGGCTTGGATGAGCTTCCTGAGTTCACCTTGCAGATGTCAGGTCTGCAGTCCCGGTAGGATGGACAGCCCGGACAACAGACAAGGGACAGTGACACCTAAGCCGGAATTAGTGGTCAGGATGCAAGAGAAAAGCTTGGGCTTCTGCCTCTATGCCGTGGTTCTTGCAATGGAAATAGGCTGATATCCCAGAATACAGGAAAAGGTACCCAGGGGAGGTGACCTGGTGGGGACCCAGCATGGATGAACACAGAGCAAAATAATGTCAGGAGGCATGGCAGGGGGTGAGAGGGGACGGGCTGGGAGGGAAGTGTTGTCACTTAAGGACAGCAGAAGAGAGCTGGGGAACTTGGTGTCCCCAGACCTGTGAGCAGGAGCTGTCAGTGGCCACACCAGGGATGGTTTGGGTCAAAGGAGACAGAAAAGACTCAGGGTCGTTGGTTTTGTGTTAGTTTTGGTCTGGGTTTGACTTCGAGGAAACTTTAGGAAGGGAGGGACTGAGAGCAGAGAGGAGAGCAGGGAGAGGTGGCAAGGTGGCTGTATGGCACAACAGGGGTCATTGTGAAGAGGCGGCCCTGGGGCCAGGCAGTGGAGTGAGTCCAGAGGCAACAGGTGGGCCAACTGCCATGAGTCTGGAAGTGGAGGGAAGGGAAGTGCTGTGTGAGGCTCACAGCCCCTTCCTTTTGCTTTGCTGAGTGTTTGAGAGACAGAACTCCCACCAGCTAGTCCTTTCCCCAGATGCCTGCAGCACCTTGGGTTGGGCCTGGGCTTGAACAAGCAAGCCGGGTCTCCCCTGTGGATGGCAGGATCCCATTTCCATGAGCCCTCGCTGCTACCTCCCAGGTCTGCATTAGGAGCAAGCTGTGTTCAAGAGCCTGGGCTCAGAATCAAACCCAATACGTGGATGTCTTTAACTGCCAGACCTTTACTCATCCGTGTGACATTTTAGTCGAGTATTAGACATTTCTTCTGCAGTGTCACATGCCCAGCTGTAGCTAGTACCACTACTGGTTGTGTCTTCCTTTCTTTAAGATTTATTTTTATTGGAAAGGCAGATTTATAGAGAGAAGGAGAGACAGAAAAATCTTCTATTTGCTGGTCCACTCCCCAAGTGGCCAAGACAATCGGAGCTGAGCAGATCCAAAGCCAGGAGCCAGGAGCTTCGTCCAGGTCTTCCACACAGGTGCAGTCACATGCTTTGGGCCATCCTCGACTGCTTTCCCAGGCCATAGCAGGGAGCTGGATGGGAAGTGGAGCGGCTGGGACATGAACCAATACCCATATGGGATCCTGGCACTTGGAGGTGGAGGATTAGCCAGTGAGCCAACGTGCCGGCCCCTGCCTGTGTTTTAGAACTGGTGGTGTGGTGATGAACAGGATACCTTTGTGTCCTTGCTGCTGTGGTCACTAGGAAGGCATGCAGCAGCTTCTATCATGGAGAAGCACACCACTCCCTATTGTTGCTAGAACCCAAAGAAGTCATAAGCCTCCTGGGCTCCCATAGAGCACACCCTGGTGTATGTCACCAAGCAGGTGGGAAGGGTGAGAAGGACAGGTTTGGATGGGGCAGTGTGGCCTGGAGGCATGGCAGTACCCACAAGGCCTGGACCTGGCTGCTGGCACCCAACTCAGTACTGAAAAACTGTGGAATACTGGGGCCCGAGCATTTAACCTGGGGTTGGGAACCCAGGGCTGCGTGGCCTTCTCATTTTCCAAGTTACACAGCAAGAATCCCATAGGAGGGCCTGGCACAGTTTCCTGGCGGCCCCACTTCTCATCCAGCTCCCTGCTTGTTGCCTGGGAAAGTAGTCGAGGACAGCCCAAGGCCTTAGGACCCTGCACCCACATGGGAGACCGAGAAGACGGTCCTGCCTCCTGGCTTCAAACCAGCTAAGCTCATCGCGGCCACGTGGGGAGTGAAACATCAGATGGAAGATCTTCTCTATCTCTCCTCTCTGTATGTCTGAGTTTCCAATAAAAATGGAATACATCTTAAAAAAAAAAAAGAGTCCCATAGGAGAAGCAGGCATTTGGCCCAACCTTGTCTTACCCTACAGTGCCCGAGTTCAGCTCTCAGCTTCACTGACGCAGAGCCCATGGTCACTCTAGTAGCTTTGTCTTGCCACCTGCCTCGGTAACTGCGAGGCCCTCAGCGCTGCTGTGTTCAGGTGCCCCTACCTTTCTTCTAACCTGGAAGCCGCTCAACCCGCCTTTCTGCCCTTCTGCCCTCCAGGCTTTTTTCCTCCTTGCGCCTGCTTCAGGCTACAGGGCTGCTTTTCCTGTAAGGATAGTCACATTCCTTCTCAGTCCACCCGAGTCCTGACACCACCCCTGAGCAGCATGTCCCCGCATTAGCGTAGTCATGGTTTGACAGAACTCCCCTCTGCCCTGTGCTTCCCTGTGAGATCACTGAGAAGTTTCTGTGTAGGACTTGGGTTCTTTTGGATCACCTCTAACCTGGTTCAGAAGCCCTGATCCCGGTGGGGAAAGCAGCTGTCTGCAACATCACCATTCCATATCCAAGCGCCAAGTCAAGTCCTGGCTGCTCTGCTTCTGATCCAGCTCCCTGCTAATGCACATAGGAAACCCAGGGGAGGTTTCTGGCTCCCGCCTCAGCCTGGTGCAGTTCCAGCAGCCACTTAGGAAGTGAACCAGCAGAGGGCGAATCCCTGTGTGGCCCTCTCCTCTCTCTGTCACTCTGCCTTTCAAATAAATAAATCCTTCTTAAAAATTAAAAAGGAAACAAATTTTTTAAAAAAATAAACAAAGAAAGGAAGTTCCATCCCCAGATCAAACCTGTAGTGACTTAAAAACTGTGTTGTATTGCAAATCCTAAGGGCAATTTACAGGCTTGGTCTGTGTGAGATTTGCTGTGCCTAAGACCTTGGAAACAGATTCTAAATGGAACTCTACCTCAGGAGAAGAACTCCTTGCTGAGCTCCCAGAGACCCTTCTGGTATTCTTGGGAACTGTCTGAATGGTCGCAGAGTATTCCAGACACCATCTTGAAGTCAGTATTCTGATCTCCAACTCTAGGGAGAAGATGGCTTACTTCACCAGGGCCAAGATCAGCATCCCCACGCTGCCTGCAGACGACGTGTGACCATCACTCATGATGCTGTTTGCTCACCTGTTCGCTCAGTCAGGGAGGGTGAAAGACTGAACTTTGGTCTTCTTTCTTCCTTTTACTTTATTTTTATTATTATTATTTTTGTAATGTAATTGTCAACTCTTGAAAAACTGTTATTTCACATGTTATTTTCATCATGTTGATTTATAAAAAAAAATACTTTGAATATAATATTTTTAAAAGAAAGAAAAAACAAGCTAACACATTGGGATCATGTGGTACCCAGATGTACCCGTGAGTGCATTGCCGGTGGGCCGTATCGTATGCGAATGCAATGGAGGCAGGACCCGGTGTATTTCCGATAGAGGAGCGCCTTGGATTAGCACTGGGTGACGGGGGCTCCTCCATTGCCTCACGCATAGCCTTGCATGTGGCCGTGGCACCCCATGGGTGTCCTGACCCAGAGAGCAGCTCTGTGGGAGCCCCATGAGGCGACTTCCACTGCTGGACAACACAGTGCTATGCTCCTGTCTGCCACCTATGTGGGGACATGTTATTTCCTCAAAGTCTTTCCGTCCCTTTTGTCTAAAGAGAGCAAAACTGTAAAGTACTGCATGAGAGTGTCATTCAAGAATAGGAACAGCACTCCTGGCGACATTAAGAGTGTGTGACGATGGCATCGTGGGGAAGGTAAGGAAGGGAAAACACTGATGACCCTAAAATACCCGTAAAGGAACCCTGTCAGGTAGCCACCCCAGCCAGCCTGGTTGCACATGCGTGTGCCATATTGGCTTTCTGGCCAGTGCCGGTGCCAGGCTACAAGGTTGTGGGGTGTACAGCTGGCCCCAGCAGGACAGATGTCTGACATCCCATGCCAAAACAGCCCTGTTGCTGGGCGCTGGCAGACGGAGCCACCGCCCCAGGAGGCTGGCTGGGCTGTCGGGGTTGCAGAAAGGAGCAAGAGGGAGGCAGGGAACAGATTCCAGACATGCACCAGAAGCAACTTGGCAGCTCGTCTGTGCGGAGTTTGTAGGCTACAGTCGAGAGATGGAAAGCAAGGGAAGAGTGCCTGGGGGACTGTCTTTCTATTGGTAGGCTAAATTGCTTGTAAAAAGAAAAAAATAATTATTCTAAATGAACAAATTTAAAAACAATAATAGTATGACTTCCTATTAGGATCTTAGTTTACCCAGCCCAGGCACTTGTTTGAAAATAAAATCTTCACTTTAGCCATGCCAGCTTAAAGGCTTCTAAATATATGGTGTTTAAGCAACTTAAACTACCCTTATCGTTATGTCTATTATATTAGAAGCAGATTTTAGATCGCTATTTTATATTGCACACTAAAATAACAATCCAAAAAAATTGTAAATCGTCATAAAGGAATGGACCCCTTCAATAAAAAATTTTTGCAAGTTCTGTTGGTAAGCTAGAATCCTCACTAGCAAAAGCTTTTCCTGCCTTTAAATTTACTGTACATATTTTACAAAGTTCATTTTGTCAGAATCAAGGTTCAAATTAAGCAGCTTCTGAGCCTAGAACTTTAATTATCTTTGTTTCTTAAATGTCCCACCACTTAAGGAAAACTGGACATGACATTACTTTGAACAAAAACAAGCCTAGTGAAGAGACCGAGTACAGTCCTCCACGCTGCCCAGTTTGTTCTCTTAGGTGACTAAGGCACACCAGTTCAAGAATGCCATTCATCGTTATTGAGGTCAAATGTGAAAGAAGTTTATTTAATGTAAAGTTAATGAAGGTCAGCTGTTCTCAGCTGCTTAGTTTGACCATGAAAATGTTTATAGAATTATGTGTAGTTGTACCGTACGATTTTATTTTCTTCATTTATTTATTTACGGTATTATTTATGTTCTGTTTAATATATAGTTTGGTTCTGGCCATTTTAAATGTTTGACATAGAAGAGGCTATATTGGAATTTTTACAGCTTTATGAAATCTTCATCAGATTAGCAGTCAACTTTTTGTAATACAAAAAGTTTCAGATAAGTATTAAAAAAATAAATTCTGTCCCAGGCTGGTATTTAACAGTTGTGATCAAGATGCTTCTGGTTTTATTTTACAAAATCTGCTCATTTCTAACATGAGAAACAAATGTATTTTAATATAACTTTTTCCACACTTTAAAAATCAGCAATAGTGTTATGTATTTATAGGCAGCTTTTAATAATCTTGTCATATTTGTATTAACCCAAATGATTCAGTGACAAGACATTTTACTAACACGATCACAAAAACATATGGACAAATATGAATTTTAATATTATAAATGCTATTTTTTAAAGGTAGGACTTAATCTGCACAGGGTCAAAAGAATGTAATATTTAGTTCTCAATTTTGAATTACCATTATGTTATAACAGTTTTGTATATCAGAATCTTAAGTGTTACAGGTACAAAAAAGATGCTCACTAGCCAAATGAACAAAGTTTAGCTGAGTCTCTGTCACGTGCAAATCAACACATTTAAAATCTTTGTCTTTTTTTCTATCGCTTTGTTATATTGTATTAAATATCAAAAGCTCAGGACTGAACTAAATACTTAATCAGGTTAAATTCTGAATATGTTTCTGTCTAAATTTGTCTTGTTTGTACAAGTATGCAAATATATCATACAGCTTAACTTTGGTTTCTGTACTTTCCATGTGTTTGTCAGTGGAAAAGCAAAATCAGTGGCTTTTCTTTTTTAACAAAGACACATCTTTACATAATACTTTATTCCCGTGTTATTGCTCACTTTGTTTCCCTGATTGGCACAAACACCAGAGTTTACTTATTCTATGGACCAAGCAAATATAAAAGTCTTTCATAAGCTTCCCCAGCCAAACAGTGTGCTGTGAACAGCTCTCTCTCTCTCTCAGACTGTGTCGCTGATTTTAAAACATGAAGTATTCTTACTGTGTAAATGAGACAAAGAGCTTCCGAGTGCTCACCACGTTCAAGGGACTGCTAGCTTGGCAGCAATCCCAGGAGTCCCCTGTGCCCACGAACGCCAGTGCTGACCACCGTGCCCCTTTCCAGGGGGCCCAGGGGTGTGGGCCTTCAGGTGCATTGCGTGTGAGGGGGGTAGTCTTGCATTTCCAGAATGCAAGATCGCCCTCTTGTGCTGGAAGGCGGGAGTGACTGGGACTGGCCTCTGGAGAGGCTGCATAGGGGCCCCAGGACGTCACACTGCAACTGGAATGTTGGCTCCCAAGTCTTTCACCTACAAAGCTTTCTAAGAGCCAGTAGAGAGTTGTCTGTTCATAATATCACATATCATGCCTTTTAAACAAATCTGTGATGACACCTTAGTTTCTCTCTAATTAGGTGATTGCAAACCCCTGAAAGAAGTAAACGATTAGCGGTGGCACTTCCAGGTGCCAAAATGATTCACCATCGTAGGAACAATACCTTCAAAGATGCATCCACATTGATAACAGCATTTTATTTACCAGCTGTGGGCAATGGCTGAGCCTGTCCGAGAATTGGGAAAATGCACTCACAGTAAGTGCGGATTGCTGTTTAAGTCTTGATTGGTTTTGGTTTCTGAGAAGAAGGTAAAGGTGGTCTACCAGTCTTAGAAAGAAATTCTAGTTTAAGAAGTTCATAGCCGTGGGGGTGGGGGATGCACTTTAGAAAAACAGAACCATACCAACCCAGCTGTTGAGCGAGTCTCCTCCAGCCACAGGTACCCGTGTTGCCTCCTGGCTCAGGTTTTCGGGTTGTCACAGTCTGCCATCCGCAGTTGATGATGATGATCTTGCATTTCTGCCACCGCGTAGTGGCCCGAGGCTGGAGGAGCTGGCACTGGGCAGGCCACACAGTGAAGCAGACACCCTCCCACAAGGAGCGAAAACCCAGCAAACCAGCCCACAAACAGGGCCTCCCCAAACTCCCAGCGAGGGACTATCTCAGGGATGCTCTCATCCCAGAACTCGCGCACTGTCACGTGGGCCACCCACGACACCGGGAACAGGGCCGTGATACCCGACGTCCACAGCAGAGCTCCTCCCAGGAGGAGCAGTCGCTTCTTAAGATGGCGCCGTGTCTCCCCAATGCGCAGGCAGTCCAGGCCCAAGGCCGACAGCAGCACACCCAGGAGGCCCAGCCCGTTGGACAGGAACATGCAAACCCGGGCGATCCTGAGCTCCGCAGGCAACGCCAGGAAGGAATCAAAGTCCTTGCACTGCCTCCCCACTTCCTCTTGGATCACACAAGTTTGCCAGAGTCCCATGGTCCAGTTTTCCATCTCATTCAGGTCCAGGTTGAGGTTCTTCCAGTGTGGCAGGTAGTTCGTAAGACAGGATAGAATCCAGCCCAGCAGAGATAATGAAATTCCAGCTAACTGTGCTGCAGTTCTAAATGCTAGCGCCATTGTGAAGTCCCGCGAGCTCCGACAAAGCTAACTCCTGCCCTGTGGTCTCAGCGGAAAGCAGTGTGCCACTTATGTTATCACTTGCCGAGTCAGAAATTTTTTTTTTCATTGTGTGTACAGGAGGATTCCTGGCAGAGTTGCCATTGTTTGATTCCATGTTGAATAGGTTTCAGAAAAGGATAGGGAAATAATGCTGCAACCCAAGGTGTGGCCGGACCGTGCGGTAAGAAGCCGTGGATCCCTGAACTAAAACCTCATTGTGACAGTGTAATTGGCTTTTCTATTTTTTGCCTAACAGGTCAAAGAATTATGAAGTCTGAATGTAAAAGTGTTTAATTGATGGTTTCGTTTAACTCCTCCTGCTTTCTACCTTGCTAATTGCACCTTTCAGCTGTTCATCTGTTCTGGTTCTCACATTTCAATGAGTGTTATGATGATACTGGATGTTATCATATTTAAAAAAAAAAAAAGATTTAAGAAAAGTGTTTCTTAACCAAATAAATTGATCTTATCAGAAATCTCTCAAGACCTTGAATCAAGCCTGTTTGTTTTAACAAAGTTCTTAGGCTACGTACACAATGTAGCTTACGAAGCAACAGTGATAAACACTAGGTCTGTTTATCCAATCTGTTTGCCTTTTGGTTAAATCCATGTGCATATGCACCAAAACGTTTTTTCTTTTGCATAAGGATGATGTCTGCCTTGTGGAAAAATGAAGCAAAAGGACTTCGTAGGTTAAAATCAGCACCTGCTCACCATCCAATAGATTTGCACAGGTCTGTAATTTTTAAATAAACTGATGATGTCAGGATACCAAGAACAATCTTCGGAATTATTTTACTTCTTATTTTTTAATTGAAGCTTTGGAGGAAAGAGGGAATACCGGCCAGTATTTTCAATCTGAGAATATCTCACAGTGTGCCTCAAGCCCTCAGCTACATCAGGATCCTCAAAAAAATTCAGGAGAGTACCTAGGAACTTCCTAAAACACAAGCCACTTTGAGAGACCAAAACTGTCATGTAGAGACATAGCACGTGGGTATTGCTTTTGCCATTGGTTTTACTTATGTAGAAATTTTGAAAGAATCCAGACTGTTAGACTTTTTTTCCTTCCTGTAAGAAACAAACCAGTTATCATTTCCACTTGCCAACAAGAGCAGACCCAAAACACTACCTGCTACAAAAATGAACACATTAAAGTTTAAGACCACCATAGATACACCCCTCCACACATGGATTCAGTAACCAGATCAGTGCAGATTTTTTTTCACTCATACCTATGTAAGGCTTACCATAATACTTTTAGATGTAAGACCTAAATTAGTCTCCTGCTTGGAGAGGAGGGGATTCTATTACAGAGAGCTGCTGGTTAGGTGAGAGAATGGGAGCTGCAACAGACACCTCTTGGTCATCATAGCTAATAAAGCACTTGTCTCTGGTCTTGCCCACGGCTTATACTTTGGGATCTGCAGGTCCATCTTCCAGATGTGGACACTGAGTAGGCTGCATTTCTGCCACCGCGTAGTGGCCCGAGGCTGGAGGAGCTGGCACTGAGCAGGCCACACAGTGAAGCAGACACCCTCCCACAAGGAGCGAAAACCCAGCAAACCAGCCCACAAACAGGGCCTCCCCAAACTCCCAGCGAGGGACTATCTCAGGGATGCTCTCATCCCAGAACTCGCGCACTGTCACGTGGGCCACCCACGACACCGGGACCAGGGCCGTGATGCCCGACGTCCACAGCAGAGCTCCTCCCAGGAGGAGCAGTCGCTTCTTAAGATGGCGCCGTGTCTCCCCAATGCGCAGGCAGTCCAGGCCCAAGGCCGACAGCAGCACACCCAGGAGGCCCAGCCCGTTGGACAGGAACATGCAAACCCGGGCGATCCTGAGCTCCGCAGGCAACGCCAGGAAGGAATCAAAGTCCTTGCACTGCCTCCCCACTTCCTCTTGGATCACACAAGTTTGCCAGAGTCCCATGGTCCAGTTTTCCATCTCATTTAGGTCCAGGTTGAGGTTCTTCCAGTGTGGCAGATAAGTTGTCATAATGGATAAAACCCATCCCAGAAATGAGGATAAAAGTCCAACAGATTGCATTGCCGTTTTGAAGACTAAAGCCATTGCCACAAATCTTGTGACTGCCACTCCCATAGGATCTTCTGCCCTGTGTGTGCGACAGCCAGCAGTGTGACAGTCTTGATTCTATGCTGCCTAGAATATAAGCTTCAGCCATTAACTCTTTGGGCACTCTGAACTGTGTTTTTGTTCTTGAATATAATGTTTCATGTAAAGGACGAAGGACTCAACCGTGAGTTAGGTTCCTGATAAGGATTTGCTCTGTTACCTTCCAATTGGCTTGGTAAAATTATATCCCCAATGCTCAAAGCTTCTAAGTCTAAGGATGAACAAAGAAGGCTCTGTGACCCCTCACCCCAAAAGACAACAGAAATCTTTGTGCTTCAATATGGATTAATTAGATTTTAAGTGGTGATAAAAAAAAATCCAGCTCTTTCTACAACAGGACTTCATTGTAATAGCCCAGTCTGAGATTTCAGGGATGTAAAACAAGGCCTTCGAAAGAAAGGTAGACTGTTTCCCTATAATCTCCTTGCTCCTCCGACTTCCTGAACCTACAGGGGAGCCTGGCCCGCATTCCTGCATGTCACAGGGACTGGGCTGGGACTTGGCAGGGAGATTCCCCTCAGATTCCTTTGCAAGGTAGAGCCCAGTTCACCGTATTAATTAAAACAGGAGAGCCGGCTGCCTGGAGCCACTGCGCAAGAGGCTGGCGAACCTCTCAGGGGGGCCCTCCAGCTTCCGCTCAATTCTGTTGTTCTGATCCTTGTTAAGGTCCTGGGGGGAGGTGGGATGACTGGGTGTCCCTGGGAGAGGGCTCTGTCCAGAGCCAGGCTATGCTTCTCATTTTGGCCCCACAAGCAGAGCATCACCAGGCGTAAGATCCCTGCTGGTTGCTCCTAATGGGCTGAGGGAACACACTGGTTCCTAAGGAGGCGCTGCTGCCCTGAAGATGCTCACCTGATGAGCCACGGCCACTGCCTACCCTGTTGCAGCAGCTGAGTGCAGTGAAGGACCGCAGGTGACCCTAAATGATGCTGCCAAATAGGAGAGAGACAGACAGACAGGACTCTGGGGTGTTCTAAGTAAGCACAGGAGCTGGGGTAGCAGGTGGTACTGCCTTCAGCGTTCCCACCATCTGATGTCTTTGGAAAAGGTGTGCTGTTTGATGATTTCACTCTTGAATCCTGCAAGTTGTGAGAGTCCCTCAGGTACTGTCGGCCATGGTGTGGGCTGGTGGTGAGCTAGAACTTTTCTTCCAGAAGGCAGCCAGGGTGACGGCAGATCCAGAGAGCTGCCATCAGCAATGACACGAGATGGCTCTTGACACTGCACTCAAGCATGATTAAAGTTGGAGTGGCCTAAGCAGCCCTGTGAGGGCAGCACATCTCTCCATCTTGCAGGTGTCTAAGACAAGGACCATCATCACCTGCCAGGTGTTGAACTGCGGGAGTCAGACCAGGACTACCTCCAGGCACCCTCCCGACTCAGTTGCATATCTAAAAACACATTGTGTGACAGGACCTAGTAGGAAAAGCTACCACCTGCTGTGCTAGCATCCCATATGGGCACTGGTTCCTGTTCTGGCTGCTTCACTTCCAATCCAGTTCCCTGTTAATGTGCTTGGAAAAGCAGCAGAGGATGACCTAATTGTCTGGGCCCCTGCAACGACATGGTAGACCTGGATGAAACTCCTGGCTCCTGGCTTTGGCCTGGTTCAGCCTGGGCTGTTGGAAATTTGAAAGTCAATCTTGGGAAGTCAATTAGTAGTTAGAAGAATTTATGTGTCTCCTCTTTCTGTATAACTCTGACTTTCAAATAAACTAGTGTTTCAAATAATTAAATAAAATTTTTAAATAAGATTTTTGAGCATCAACTGCTGCCCAGGCTCAAACAGGATACAACCAAGACTGGATGTACTTTTCATCACCGCCCCTGTGGGGCGCTCCCAGGCACGTGGAAAGAGGTCACAATGATCAAGAAAGCAAAAGACTCAGAGATGGAGGTGAGTGTCCTGGCAAAGGAAACTGATGCGGCAGCCCCGAAACAAGAGGTGGAGTGGGCTGGGAGTCATGCGGGCTGCCCCCAGATACGGATATGGGGAGTGAGGGCTCCTCTTTATGCTCAGTGTGTGGATTGGTCCCCTTGACTGTGTTGCTTCCAGAATGGAGGTGGGAGTGACACGCAGCCAGAAGACAAGTACTAATACCACGAGGATTGCTTTCTCTGTCAAGATCATCCATCTACAAAGGTATTTTTTGTAGTCCATGGGAAGTGGAACCACACAGTTACAGGCAGGTGTCCCCATATAGGAGTTCTTGGCCCTCACTGCTGACTGTAGCTTCCTGGGAGCACCGACTGTGGAAGGCAGCAATGCTAGCTCAAGTGACTGCATTGCTGCACCCCACATGGGAGACCTGGATTGGGGAGTAACCATGGTCAGGGGTTCATTCTCTCATTCCCTCTCTCCCTCCATCCCTTTCTGCCTCTCAAATAAATGAAAGAAAGAAAACCCCGTACGTAAGATGGAAGGCACATAACTGAGTCACGTCTCCCCAGCAGCTCCTCCAGCAGGGGAGCCTGGGGAAGCTGACTTGGCTTGGGATCCTGGGAATCTCGCAGCAACTCTTGAGACAGCGGAGTCAGCATCACTGTGAGAGAGCTGGAAACAGAACAAAGAGAAAACAGCCCACCTGCCACCCTAGGATGTGCTGCCAGGAGGGAGCCACCATCCCACTACTCCCATCCCCACCGCCACCCCCCACAGGGCCTGGCTTCCTGTCACTGCCACAAAGCAATAAAGACATCTGGGTCGGGCCTGGCGGCATGGCCTGGTGGCTAGGGTCCTCACCTTGAACGCGCCAGGATCCCGTGTGGGCACTGGTTCTAATCCCAGCAGCTCCACTTCCCATCCGGCTCCCTTTGTGGCCTGGGAAGGCAGTCAGGGATGGCCCGAAGCTTTGGGACCCTGCACCCATGTGGGATGCCAGGAGGAGGTTCCTGGATCCTGGCATAGCACTGGCCGTTGCGCTCACTTGGGGAGTGAATCATCGGACGGAAGATCTTCCTCTCTGTCTCTCCTCCTCTCTGTATATCTGACTTTCCAATAAATAAATCTTAAAAACAAAAAAGAAAAAAAAAACACATATCTGGGTCCTTCCTGCTGAACACAACTTTGATTCTTAAAAAAAATACCTTGTTATGGGCCCTGACCTTGAGGTGCCTGTGGCGCTGGCATCCCACATGGGCAGCTCTATTTCTGATCCCGCTCCTTGATAATGCACCTGTGAAAGCAGTGTAAGATGGCCCAAGTGCTTGTGCACCTGCCCTCACATGGGAGACCTAGAAGAAGCTCCTGGCTCCCAACTTCTGACTGTCCTAGCCCTGGCCAATGCAGCCATCTGGGGAGTGAACCAGTGAATGCAATATCTCCTTCTCTTTATAACTCTTTCAAGTAAACAGACGATCTTTAAAAAGAAGAAAACCTATTTCACAGCTGAATATCTCTGAGCAGTGTTTCTGAGAGCAGGGCTGTCTGATGCTTCGAAGGCCCCAGCTGAGCTCTTGTTCCAAGCCTGCAAAGGACTGATGCTGTGAGATGGTGGTGAGAACCTCCCATTGCAGAATAGAGCAGCCAATGGGCAGTGTCCGCTAGAATGATGATGGTCAGTACGGACTGAACACTTATTACCTGCTGGGCGTCGGGTGAAAAGCTTTATCTGCTTAATCTATCTTTGCGAGAATCCCAGGAGGTTGGCACTACTGTTACCTCCATTTAACCGAGAGAAGATCCAAGACTTAAGGAAGCTGGTGAGGTTGCCAGATAACGGCGCAAAGAATTCGTACCAGGCCACTCCACACCAACATCAGTCCATTTGGTCTGAACGCCTTCCTTGCTGAACCGCATTGGCCAACTAATGCTGTCCCCTCCCCCCACCACCACCTAGGGTGATGACCAGACCTCCAAAGGCCTCCCAACACAGGTGGCTGTCTTCTCGGAAGTCTGTATGGCTTCTTTGCGCCCCTGGGGTCAGGAGCTGGGGCAGTCAAGGGGTTTTGCAGGGTCAGGGTACTGTTCAAGCCAGAGCTACAGGGCCTCCACCCATTACACAAACAGAAATGAAAAGACCTCTATGTCAGGATTAACTTGGTTCTTTTCTCCATAAACCCTTTCTAAATATTAATCTCCTGGCACAGTGAATTTCCAGTTACCGGATGGGGAAATCGTGTCAGGTCAGCCGCCACCCTGACTGCTACCCTGGGCCTCCAAGCACCAATCCTCTCTCCCACACTGTGGGGGTTTGGCAAGGTCATCCAGGTTGGGCTGGTGCCCTGACTTTCAAATCACATGTCCTTTTTTCCAGAAGGGAGATCAACTTCCAGAGAGACATCAGCTGGGCACTCATAGTGTGCAGGACTGCATGCTGGGAGCCAGGAAAGCCACGGCAGGGCCACGGGCAGGCTCCAATCTGGAGAACCCAGGACTGGATCACCTTTATAGGGAGGCCCTGACCCTGCTTTTCATTATTTATTTTTAAATTTTTTTGTTTGAAAGTCGGGAAGAGAAAGATCTCCCACTTACTAGTTCACTCCAAATTCCTCCAACGGCCGGAATTGGTTCAGACTTTTGACCAGAGGCCCAGAACTCAATCAGAGCTTCTTCCATGGGGGGCAGGGATACAAGTGCTTAAACCATCACCCACTGCCTCCCAGAGGGTGCTGCAGCAACAGGAAACAAGGATCAGAGTGAGCTGGGACTCAACCCTAGGTACTTTATGGAACCCAAGGTACTTTAGGCAACCCAAGCAGCAAGGGTCCCAACCGTTAAGCCAAATGCCCAGCTCTACCAGGAAGAATCGAAGGGAAACATGAGCCTGTGGTCACTGGGAACCTGTCACCGCAGCTGAGAGTTGAGCAATGAGGACTTCGTGAGAATGTAGCATGAAATTTGCACTAGCACCATTGCCCCAGGGCATCGGACCTGTTCTGCCCGACAGTGTGGCACATTTACATAGGATGCAATAAAAAAATGCCCACCTAAAACTGGGCAGTCCTTTCTCTATAACAAGAACAACTGAAAAATACCTAAGGTAGGATTTGTCATTCATCCAACAGGTGTGTCATGAGCACCTGCCACCCCCACAG